GAAAAAATTAGCGAGAAGGAATCGGCAGGAAGTAATATTCGCGATGGTAACAATGTTAGCGGGGGTAGCAATGTTAGCGAGGGTAGTAGTAACACTACCAAAGTTGTTGAATCGATACCTAAACACAAGCCAAAACGCTTACGCACTGTTCGCATTCCCGATGACAAAATCCCAGGAGCATCATCTTCTTCACACACGAGCTCTTGGACGTGTATGGTCTGTACACTAGTTAACCAAGATTCGTTTCTTAACTGTCGTGCATGTCTGACTCGACGTGGCTCTTCGATTCCATCACCGGCATCAGCACCGCCGATATCAATACCCGACGCGTTGTGGACTTGTCCTGTGTGTGGAATTGAAAATGAGAGTGCAGTAGTAATGTGTCTGGGATGTGACTTTTTGATTAATTGAGTTTGTGAGGAAGTGGCAAGGGACAGTGTTATTAATAAGTAGCTTGAGTCATTTTGGAGACTTTTTTTTGGGGAGGGGGATTGAATTCAATTGAATGATATAGATATTATTATTATAATTATGTGATATTTTGTGGATTTATTTTTACATATCTTGGCCCATGGATCTATCTTTGTAGTTTGAAAATACACTTGAATTAATTTATAGGCGTGAATAAAGAGGAGCTACATGTTATCTTTTGAATTGGAAGTATGGTATCAAACCATCCGAAAATAAGAGGCTGGACATTGAGAATTTTCTCCTTCTGAGCAACAAACACCATAGTATTTGTAAAATCCTATTCCGCCTCAAAGATAGCACAGCCTGCATTGTTCTATCATCCGTGACTGAGGCCTTTGGGTGATCATTACTATCCAATTTATTAACATTCCACGTACATATACAACATATTATAGGGGGAACAATGAAAACATTTTATTCTATTCAATAGAAGAAACCTACAGATAGCGACATTCGAAATTAATGTTAGCTGGTAAACAATAGCTGCAAACTGACAAGATAGAAGGGAACATCACGTAACAAGGTATTAGCTAATGAGACAAATTAACTCACCGAGAATCTTTCCACCCGTGTGTTTCCTTCTTGCCTCTTGATGGTCCATGATACCAGCACTTGTAGTTAATACTACAAATCCAAACTGACGAGACGGCAAAAGATTGTTCACTAGTTTCTCGAGTTCATCCAATTGAACGTCAAAGCGTGGTGAGATCGCTCCACACTTGTTTAATCGCCCGTTCAATTGAATAACAATTTTACCAGAACGATGGTCATCAATTTCTTCAAATTCACCAATATAACCTGTATATAGCATCAAAAATTATGAATACACCAAAATATATATCAATATGTTAGCGAAGCACTACGTTCCGCACTGAATATAGCCAAAATTCGGCAGACTTCTTAACTTCGTTGATTATGATCTCTCGAAGCCTTAAAAAACGAGAGTCGGAGAAAATACGACTATCGTCCAGTTATAACTTCGATAAAAAAAAAATGGCGACTAGGAAAAGAACGTACCGTGCTTTTGCATTACGAGCAAGAATCTAGTTACGACCTTGGACGAAGGTCTTACAAGCACTTGCCTCTTGCCACGTTTTTCTGCATTGACGATATTTTTGAGGCAATCGTTCTATTGT